ATGGTGCGGTCCCCGACGAGGCCAGAATCACGTCTGCTACCCCGACCTTCCAGAGCGCCCCGAAGGTCACCAAGAAGCAGCATGTGTCGTACATTGATCATGTATTTGTGCCTGAAAGTCATGTTCATAGGATCCAGAGATTTACACGAGCGACGCGGGCTGCGAAGCGGCTCCAGATCATCCCAGACAGCCGGCCCAGGGACCACATCCCCTTTGTCTTCCAGCTGGAGCTGAGGCCCTGCTATCGAGCTGAACCCCCTCGGAAACGCTGGGACTTCGTGGGCTTGGGTCAGGCACTTCGTAGTGAGCATCATGCACAAGTGTTTCGATATGATGTTGAACGCGCAGTCGAGTCATTACTTGCCCAGAGGGGCGCGGGGTCACTGGAGGAGCTTGTTCAGTCTGAGAACCTCGAGGATGCTTGGACGTCCCTGATGGAGCTCATCCAGGAGAAGGGCTTTGAGACCTTTGAGGCCACCCCTAAGGCATTGCCTGCTGAGTACTTACAGATGTCTCGGAAACGTGTCCGGCTTCTTCGTGAGAGGGGTCGTGCGCGTGAAAGGTGCACAGGCCCCCTGGAGTCGACTATGGCACTAACCCGAACCACTAAGAAGTGTAGGTCGTTCCGTCGTCAACTACGAGAGCTCCGCGAGGCCCAACTTTCAGAGGAACTGATGGAGGCTCAATCGAAGGGGCTCGCTTCGGAGGGGCGGAGGACATGCAGACTTACGGCGGGGGCGGGCGTAGGACCGAGGAGGAGACAGCACGGACATATTGCGTCTCATACACCGAGCATGGAGGAGTGGGTGGAGGATCTTGCGACGCCGTCGAGTAAGGGTGGCACGAGTGCGACCGAGATCAGCGAGGTAGATTTCATCCTGAGCGCCTCGAGGTTCGACGTTGACGAGTCCCCCTCGATCGATGACGTGTCCCAGGCTGAACACGACTTTGAACGCATTGCCAAAGGTTTTCGCAAGGCTCGCCGTAGGCGTGCTGCAGTGCCGTGGAGCGCGCCGAACGAGATCTGGTCTCTGTTGCTCTCGTCGCGCCAATCAGAGAAGGTGCGATCCGCAGGGCTTGGAGTTGAGTCCCCAGAGGGCGTCGGTCCTCTGATCAGTAAGTGGGCGAAGTGTATTCTGACCAAAGTTCGTCAGCATGCTAGGCTTGTTGCACATTGGAATGTTTCTTTCACGTATCAGTTGTCGAAGGATAACGATAAGACACGCATACAGAGTACAAGATTGCTTCACGGTCTCTGCACGTTCGGCAAAATGTGGGTGAAGGTGGCGAGGAGGAGGGCGAGGTCGATCCCGTGCTGCGATTACGGCTACTTGCCACGACGTTCGAGGACGGGGGCGATTCGAACCACCGCGGCGTTTTCCTGGAGGGTGTCTCGGGGCAGGGTGTCGACAGTCGATACGAAACGCGACATGCGGAACGCGTTCGGGCCCGTGAAGCACCAGTCTCTGGACGAGGCCGTGGACAGGCTGCATGATGCATCGGACGCGCACATCCTGAAGCAAAGGCATCGCAGGGCGTGTTTTCGGGTCACCGCCGACGGCGGCTACAACGTCTTTCGCAACACGGAGGGGAGCTATATGGGGGATGCCAATGCTGTCACAGTGTTTCAGGAAGCGTTCGCGCCGCCAGTGAATGAGTGGCAGCTTGGCCACCATCAGAAGTTTCAGAAACGTCTACAGGGCACTTGCGCTGTTACAGGCGAGAAGTGCGACTTGAGCCTGCGCGTCTTTGCAGATGACCTGAACAAAACACACATTGTTCGGGGCCTGGCTGATACACGAGCTATCATCATGCACTCGGATCGTCTACTGGGTGGATCACTGCGTGAGCACGGTGTCTTCCAGAGCGCGGGTAAGAAACAGGTGGCCCCTCATTTCAGCGGTCCTGGGGCGCATTGGGCCACGAAGACGGCCTTCACGTACGGTGCTCATGATCTCTCTGGACAAGTTTTACCTGCTGCTCCTTGTCTCGGGACCCTCTTCTCGACGTCGGGATCGTGGGCGCCAGAGGTTGAAGCCAGGCGTGCTGCAGCTGTTCGAGGCTGGGCGCACATGAAGCGCTTCTGGACGGTCTGTTCCTCGTGGCGTTCGAAAAAATGGCGCTCAGAAGCAATGTGATAGGCGCTGCGATCTCGGGGCCCACGGCTCTGGTCCTCTCGGCCTCCCAAGTTGCCCGTATTGAATCTATATGTTTACGGTATCGCCGTGTATGGTGTTGCTACCAGGATCGAGGTCGTCAACCCTGACGGTTCAAAGACTACGGTTATCAGGACCCCCTTGCTCATGTGTTATGGCGCCAGGTTGGGCTAGCTCCGATTGACCTGGAGTCGAGGGTCCAGAGGTTGAAAGAGTGGCAAAAAATAGCACGCTGTCCGGTATATCACGTTCAACAGTTGACGGCGGTCTTCGGGGCCTTGGAGGTTGAAGAAGCGGTTCCGTCGTCGTTTACTCGGTACCCCAGTGCGTGCTCGAGCCCCAAGGATACCTCGAGAGGCATCCCATGGGCCAAACAGTTTGTGCAAGATCTTATGCATATAGAATGCACGGAGGAGGGGAGGGACGTCTTGGAGTTACTTAGGGACGAGGCCAGTGCAGTAGGCTACTTGGGGATCTTCCGCGGGGACTCCGAGGCCTATGACGCTTTTCAGAAGATCGATATGCAGCAGTTTCGAGCTGAATGGCTGTTGAGGCCGTCGTCGTCATCAGATGTATCCCCTGAACCAGGAGGTTGCCGAAGGTGAATACTGCTGCACTTATCTGAATGAAGATGGCCCCGAATGTGGCCGACGATTTGCATCACATCGAGCCCTTCTAGTCCACCAGAGGCAGGCCACAGGAGGTCAACGCGGGATTCCGTCCACCATATCTAAGTTGGTGCTCACCAATCAATGTGTTGCCTGCCTGTCGACGTTCCGTTGCCGTGATGCCGCGGTCAGACATATTGCGAATGCGTATCGGTTTGGTCGGCGCAGGGTGGACTCGTCAAAATTCAACCCGCCAGTTCAAGATCCTGAAGACAAGTCATGTCCAATATGCCTGCAGCCTTTTCGGTCTTTTGAGGCGCTGCAGTTTCACCTACGCGATCACCTTCCCATCCCTCTTCCTGAATTTGTCTGGCATGTGGTCGGCGCCCCCTGCGGCTGCCCCAGCGGCCGCGACGGCGGCCCCCGCCGTGAGGCGCAAGGCCGAAGGAGGAGGAGGAGGCGGCGGGCGGGCGAAGAGAGGAACGCAGACGAAGCCCAACAATCGGACGGTATCGAAGGAGGAGATTGCGGAGCTAGAAGAGTACGACATAAATCAAATAAAAAAAGATCGCGCCCGTGCTCATGAAATTGGTGATGAACGTAACTATGCGCACTCGACAAGTCGAGGCTATCACTTTGATCACGATGACGATGGCCGAGAACACAGAACCCATCCTGCAGGGACGAGGAAGAGCGAAGGCGCGGGTGGAGGCGGCCCAGGACTTGAGGTCGAGGGGGAAGGAGTCGGGGGTGACCAAGTTGGGGTCCATCTCGGTGGCGTGCCTAGTGGGTATAGCAGAGGGCTGCGAGAGGGTCGGTGTGGCTGTGGGCCAGATGAATTTGCAGCGCCTGAACGAGTGGAAGGAGATGAACAACAAGCTGTCACTGCCAGAGGTGGTGGCCAAGTATCCTGTTGTGAAGATAGCGACGGCCTTCAAAGAGGGGGAGGCCAAGGTGTTGATGCCGAGGATCGACGACGTCAAGCCATTGATCGCCTGTTGCGAGCAGCTGGGGGCAGTGGTCCGAGAGGGCGTTGCGCCCATGGGCCACCTGGAGAGGATCTTGCAGACGTTTATGGCGGGCGAGGACATGGATATCTAAGTGTGCACAATGATGACGGTGATGATGTGATTACTGACAGAGTGGCGGTGTCGAATGACATGCGGGTGCCAAGTACTGTGGATGAGAAATATCATGAGTCATCACAGACTTCTATTTCGTTGCGAATTCGAACTTCACGAAGTGTGAGGACCCAGAGTGCGAGTTTATCTTCTACGAATGTGTCTACCACGACGGGCTTGTCTCGGCCGTCGGCCCCGAGGACAGCTTCGACCTGTCTTGAGGCCCGCTCCGCTGCTGCCTGCCAGGCCGTGGTATCCCCCCTCGTCCTTCGTCTCCCCCTGAGCCCTCGTCTCCGACTCCTCTTCCCCCCCCTACCAACCGTGCTAGAGGCGCTGTAGTTCGCAGTTTTCGGGACTCTGGATTCGGCGAATCGCTTTCTGGAGCTGCGGCTCGCTTGTTGGGTTTCCATGGGTGAGTTTTGTAGCGTGTTTAGGGTTTCGATACCCTGGAAACTCAAGGCGGACGGTGGTCCGAATTTCGCGGCTGGCAAGTCGGTCCTAGGGCTCTCTGATGTTGTCACCATCTGGATCTATGCCCCTATAGGAGTCTGATCTGATCTGATCCGCCTCCGCCTCCTCCTCCTCCTCCTCCTCCTCCTCGCGCTCGTGCCCTTCCCCGAGCAATGCTCTCGCGTCCGCCCCCCGCGTGAGCAGCCCCCGCAGCCAACGTCGAGGCGTCGGGGCTTCTTCGTTTTGTCCTAGCGTGCTGCTCTTGGGGCCGAGGCTGGGAGGGCGAGCGGCCGAGGCTGGGACCTCGCTTGTCCGCAGGATTTGCAGGAAAGGGGAAGGAGCAGGAGGAGGAGGAGGACTAGGAGGAGGAGGAGGAGGAGGACTAGGACTAGGAGGAGGATTAGGACTGAGAGGAGGAGGAGGAGGAGGAGGAGGAGGAGGAGGAGGAGGACCAGGAGGAGGAGGAGGAGGAAGAGGACGACGACGCAGAGCAGAACGGAGAGGAGCAGGGGGGGAGAGCCCGCAGGAGGAGGAGCGGGGCTGAGGGAGAGGGAGGGAGGGGTGGGGAGAGGCGGGGGGGCGGGGGGAGTCGAGCGGGAGAGGGGAGAGGACGAGGCGGAGGAGGAGCAGGACGAGGAGCAGCAGCAGGAGCAGGAGCCCCGCCAGGGCGTGCGGTGTGGCGAGCGGCCGCGGCGGGCGACGTGCGCGCGGCGCGCATCCTCTGCGGGGGCGGCCGGCAGTGGCAGCCAGGGTCCGACGGGACGCCTCCGCTGGTGGAGGCCTCCCCAGCACCGCAGGGGGCCGCCCTCCACGTCGTCTCTCAGGAGGGGAAAAAACACACAGACACAATTAATCGTCGATCCCCAAGAAAATATGGGAATTGGGCGGGAAGACAAAAACCCCGAAAATATGCGAAGATATGGGAAATCCTTTTATTTGTGTGTATGTACTTGTGTGTCCTTGGGCCCCTTGAGTCTCGCCACGACGGGCAAGGGGTCCCGAGGGAGACGGGGCCTTGGAGGTCTTTGGCCGTCGTCGCGCTCCTGGGGCCATCCCTGGGGCCCCAGAAGCTCCGAAAACTGCCCAGGATGGAAGACTGGTTCGCCGGAGGAGGCGTGGGTCGAAGAACAAAAAACGGCATAAACAGAAACTTTTGGCGGTCCGCGCGGATTTCTCGGATCCGCGCTGGGCCCCGCTGGCGGCGCCTCCGGCGCCGCCCCTGGCGCGCTCCGCGCGCCAGGGAGGGGGGGTCCAGCGCAGATCCAAGAAATCCGAGCGGAGCGCCAAAAGTTTATGTTCACGGCGTTTTTCCTCGTTTTAGGTCCGTGGGGGGGCGTGGGGTCCAGGACTCGTCGCTCGGCTGCGCGCAGGAGCGGCCCGTCGCCGGAGTGACCTCCGGTGCGGGCCCGCTGGGGTGCCCCGATCGCTGACTCCGATGCAGAAGCAGCGGCTTGCGCGCTTGGGGGTGACCTCCTAGCGCACCCCCTCGTGGCGCGCACCAGAGGTCACTCTCGCTTGGGGTCACTCCTGCGTGCGGCTGGCTTATTCTTCTCTCCTCTCCCCGCTCCAGCTCCACGTGCTCCCCCTGCGCCTCGCGGAGGCGCTGAGGAGGAGGCCGCTTCACAAGCTCAACCTGCTGCTGCGACAGGCCCGGGCGGTCGGAGACGCCCACCCCCTCGCCTCGTAGGGACCCCCTCCTTCCTCCCTGGGCCTCCACCTTCCGTATTATCCGTGTGGTCGATACGGATGCTAAATCATGTCTTTGTTTGTCCCGTTTTGTCCTTCACAGCCTTCTTTTGTCCATGTTTGTCCCTGTTTGTCCCTGTTTGTCCCTGAAGCCCTTGTTTGTCATGTTTTGATGGGCGTGGTCGCTTGAGGACTCGATTGGTTGGCTGGTCGGTTGGTTGTTAATGTGCCTGGGATGTGTTGACGGTTTCGTGTTGTCGTGTTGTCGAGTTGCCGTGTGCGTGTAGTTGTTGGTTGTTGTGCGACGTGTTGTCGTGTTGTCGGATTAATAATTCCATGGGATGCTGCATACGCGATATGTTGTTATGTGATTTTGCTCATTTGTCGACATGGTGGGATTATGCACGCTGTGAGTTCAGTAATTTGTGCTTGTTTAAAAAATGAGCATGTTTCGCATGTGTTGCTGTTTGCTGTGATTTCTTCACGTGGGTTCATGTTTTGTCTGATCGCTGCTGGAATATTCAGATGAACAATGAGTTCACGTAGTTGTGAAGAAGACAACAGAAACGTAGAGGTATACATATGACATCTCAGTGGGGCCTTGACGAATCGAATCTGTAACGGTCCTAGATATCCAATGTTTCCTCGTGGCCGGCGTGGAGGTTCCCGACAGCGGCGTGGGTTTTCGAATTTCGGAACGGCAGGGCGCGATGTCCGCGAATTTGGGCTTCAGTGGGGTCCAATGTCCACGATTTCGGGCCCCATGCAGGGCCCAATGTCCACGGTTTTGGGGCCGAAAAAAAACGAGTTTCCAAAAGCTGTTTGGAGTTATGTTCGTAGGAGTAAGCAAATGTCCTCGGTTTTGGGCCTTGTTGGGCCAAATGTCCCTGACATCTGGGCTTGTGGGGAGAAGATGCCCGCCGATTTGGGCCGCGCTAGGTCCCCGATGTCCCCAATGATCCCCCCCAGGCCCCCGATGTCCGCCTTTGTCCGCCCTGCCACGACCACTCGTAAAGCCACGATGCAACGCCAAGAAGACAACATCTTACGAGGGACATTGAGGGGCACATTGAAACCAAGACAATGTAAGCATACAGGTACGGATCTGCAAATAACAGCAATCAAGAGGATACGCAATAATATAGACTAGGAGAGACAAACAGGCACGTCGGACAGGGGGACATCGAGGGACATCGAGGGAGATCGAGGGACAACGAGGGACAACGAAGGACAAACAGGGACATCGACTCACCGGGACAAACAGGGACAAACAAGGACACATAGGGACATCCAGGGACATCCAGGGTCATCCAACATCCAGGGACATCTAGGGACATCCAGGGACACCCAGGGACATCCAGGGACATCCAGGGACATCGAACAGGGACAAAAAAGAGACAAACAGGGACACCCAGGGACATCCAGAGACATCGAGGGACAAAGAGAGACAAAGGGGGACAAAAAGTGACAACGTTGTAGTAGCACCAGGTTGTATCACACCAACGCATACGAACGACAATTGATTGAAACAACAAAAATCGATGCAAGCAAGAATAACTAAGAACAACTCCCAAACAACATTGCCTAATTCCAGGAATGTGCCTACGGAATAACATGAGAACGCGCGAAAATTCAGCGCAACCTGGAAAAATTGAGCGAAATTGTGGCCAACCATTCGTGAGCAACTATTCGTGAGCACTGCAGGCGAGTCACGCAAAATGTTGGCACTCCCAAATATTGCAAGTTTGTTGTCGGTATCGACGAATTGAATAACATGATGAAGTTTGCATTGTATTGATCGAATACAGAGACGAATGTCGAGACAAATGTCGGATTCACCGTCGAACGTCGAGTATCGAATCGATTGTTGACTTCAGGATCGCGTTTCTAGCGCCGCCCGCAAACATAAATAATGGCCCGTGATATTTCGAGACGAATTGCCGCTTGTCGGCGGCGCCCCCACGGGGAGGCAGAATTCTCCCGCGCAGCTGAGCTAGAACGCGCTAGACGTGATGAGTTGTTCCTTAGAAGGGTATCTCGGCGCTGGGGTCGCATCTTTTGCATCTGTTCGATTATATATATATATATATATATATATATATATATGTATGTATGTATGTATGTATGTATGTATGCTGGCCTCTGCTCCCTAATCTAGATTCTAGATCCGACCCTCCTGCAACATAACATCCCGCAATCCTATATCCGACATTCTGCCCCATGTTATACTTCCCCTCTAGATCTAAACGGCGCCGAAATACCGTTCTAAAATAAAGGCCCCGCTCTAGTAGCGGCGCAGTGTCCGCGGTGCCGCTTCGAGCCACAGCGCCACCGCCTGTTGCATTGCCTTGCCGGTTTAGGATCATAGGGTTGAGGACCCCTGAGGTGATGCATCACCGAAGGGGATGCATATGCGAAGGGTGCCGCCTCAGGCGGATAACGCGTGCTTGCCTTTGCTTTGTTATCTCATATGATCATGCTCCTCCTGTTCTGATCTTGCCTTTCCTGTTAGTCTTTGGCGTCGGCGTCATACAATCAAGGCTTGCCCCCCTCCTGCCCCAGGATTACAACGCCGGGAAATAGTCACCAAGGGGGCAACGGTCAGATTAGCCAGGTTGTTCGGGCGTTAGGCTGGTGTTTTCAATCAAGGTGTTTGGGGGTGTTAGGTTAGCGTGTTCGGGCAGCTGGGTGTTGTTGGGCGTTGTTGGGTGTTCGGTGTTGTTGGGTGTTAGGTTCGGGTGTTCGGGCAGCTGTGTGTTGTTAGGTGTTCGGTTCGGGTGTTGTTGGGTGTTGTGTTAGGGTGATCAGTTCAAGTGTGGGCTAAGTTGATCCATCCAGTTCGAAGCTTGAACGCTGGATTGTGCCGTTCAAAGGTTATTCGCGGGAAGTACGCAGAAGAATGAAAGGTTATTCTGTTCCGTATGCCGAACACTGTGCCGATTGAAAGGTTGTGCATGGGAAGTACGCAGATTCATTGTATTCAACGAAACGACATAAAATTATGTGAATCATGATAGGCGATGTGGAAACTTACATTATTCCCTACCTAGGCTCTGCCTAGAGTGGCTCTTACTCTGTAGCTTAAAGAGGCCGGGCAGTGCACCCCGCCCCGGGCGGTTCCCCCAGTCCCCTGGGAGCGGTTCCCCCAGTTGCGCCCCTTAGCTTTAGCTTTAGCATGAGCTTCCGTTTCAGCTTTAGCTTTAGCTCTAGTTTCAGCTTAGCTGTAGCTTAGCTTTAGTTTAGCTTCAGCTCAGCTGTAGCTTATATTTAGCTTAGTTCTAGCTTAGCTTTAGCTTAGCTTTAGCTTAGCTTTAGCTTAGCTTCAGCTTAGTTGCAGCTTAGCTTTAGCTTGGCTTTAACTTAGTTCTAGTTTAGAGTTAGCTTAGCTTTAGTTTAGATCCAGCTTAGCTGTAGCTTCGCTTTAGTTTAGCGTTAGCTTAGCTTTAGCCTAGCTTTAGGTTAGCTTCAGCTTAGTTGCAGCTTAGCTTGAGCTTTAGCCTTAGTTTAGCTTTAGCTTAGCTGTAGCTTAGCTGTAGCTTAGTTTTAGCTTAGATGTAGATTCGTGTTAGCATAGCTTTAGGTTACCTTTAGCTTTAGCTTAGCTTTAGCTTAGCTGTAGCTTAGCTCCAGCTTAGCTCTAGCTTAGCTGTAGTTTAGAGTTCGCTTAGCGTTGGTTCAGCTTTAGCTTAGCTTTACCGTTACTACTAATGCTGCTTTCCTAGGGGCTCCAACTCTTATGTAGGGTCGCACTGAGATAGTCTTTGTTAATTCAACCGGAAAAACCAAACTTGCCACGCCAGCCACACGGATAGCACGGAAGGTGGAGGCCTTGGGCTTCTCCTCTTCCTCCTCCTCCGCCTCCGACTCCGATTATTTATACTCTTCTTTCTCCTTCTCCTACTCCCCCTCCTCCTCGTCCTCCCCCCCCCCCCTTCCTGCTCCTCTCTTGAGCGGAATATGTTCTTCACGATGCGCGGGATGGTGGGCGCCACCCGACTACACCAAGCACCCAGCTGCGCCGCGCGGCCCTCGATCGTTTGGCGAGTTAGGCCGCGGGAGGCCCCCGCTTCTGACGCGCCGTTGCTCCTCCTCCTCCCCCTCCTCCTCCCCCTCCTCCTCCCCCTCCTCCTCCTCGTTATCCTTCTTCTCCTCCTCCTCCTCCTCCTCCCCCCCCTCCTCATGCGCTGGCTCAAGCCCAGGCGCCCAGCGCGCAGCCCGCGGCCCGGCGGCGGCGGGCGCGCGCGATCCAGCCACGGCTGAGCGGGGGAGATCCCGCTCGCCAGCGCGGCACCGCAGGCAGAGGAGACAGCGCTCCACAGCACGAAGGCCCCCGTCGCTGGCGCAGGCGAGGGAGCTGCTGGAGACGCACAACGGGAGCATGGCGCCGAAGTCTTGGAACTGGAACTCCTCGAGCTCGGGGTCCAGCGGACAGGCCTTCACTTGCTGCGCAACGTGGGGCTGCAAGTGCTGGGTGAAGGACGAGATCTGGCAGCCTGGACTGCAATGCCGACACTGCAAGGCCACATTCAAGAAACCCTGGAGTGCCAAGCAGTACGACGGCAACGAGGGCTATTCCAACTCGCCACGGCCCAGCTCGAGCGCATCGGCAGGGGGGCGCCAGAGAGGAGGCCAGAAGGCAGAGGCGAAGGAGATCTCGAAGGCGTTGACGCTCATCGCAGAGAGGATGAGCACCATGCAGATAGAGAACAGCGAGCAGTTAGGCAAGCAGCTCACTGGGTGCGCCAAAATGTTGGAGAAGCAGGCGGACCCGCCGAAGATCAAGACCAGACCTGAAAGGCTCGCGGAGGCGGCCGAGGCGCTGAGGGTCGCGAACAAGCACTTCACGGCGGTGGCGGCCGAGGTCAAGAAGCAGCGGGCCTGGTTGAAGGAGTTCGAGGGCAAGATGAACGACAAGGCGGAGGAGGTTGCAAGGAAGGAGTCCATCTTGGAGGCGATCCACTC